TTATTTCTCAAGTAATTTAATCAAATGATGGTTGTTCCACGTTGTCAAAGTAAAATTTTCACTTTACATAGAAATGACAATGTGACATGACAAAAAAAAAACAAACTATGAGATGAGACACTGAGACTAACACTATGTTGTCCTTTCAGAATTGGTGGTTTAAGATTCGTGTGGCTGGGAATTTCAAATTGAAAATGACAAGATTATGTATGTATGTTGTGTTGATGTGGAATATGTGGAAAGCAATAAATAAATGGCTATACAAGGGAGACCGGATTCATGGGAGATCCATAGTGGAGAAAGCCAAATCAGAGTGGTTGGAGTGGCAAAACAAACGTGATGCACGTCAATGGAGAACTCTTAAAGGGACCCTTGGGGCACCTGTTCAACATGACAACTTTTCCAATGAAGTAGGTAAGTCGTTATTGACTATCAGTGCTTCATTGTCTGTTGATGGGTTGATCTCTGTTGCATGTATGGTGGAGATTGATGGTTGTAACCAAGAGCTTTGGGAGACGAGTCTTGATAAAACTTCTAGTGAGGAAGAGAGCACTGCTATGGCTTTGTTGTGGTGCTTGAGGAAGGCTAAAAATCTGCATATCACCAATTTCACATGTCTAATTCAAGCTGCAGAGCTAGTGGACATGATTAAGAAGCACCTCTTCCCACCGGAGTTGAAGAATATGGATCTTGTTACACTCCACGATCTTTTATCCGATTGCAAAGCATCTGTTTGTTATATTTTTTAGATTTTTAGTTTGCTTACTTGGGCTTGTATGCCTTTTAGGGTTGGATTGTCATCTTTCCCATGTCTCGGGGGTAGACTATTAAGCTCTCGTTGGTTGTAATCATTTGATTATCGGTGTACTCGGTTCATGAGTTTAATCTAAGTTCTATGTTTGTCGTTGAAAAAAAAAAGGCACTGATACAAGACGACCCAAAACACAGCTAAAACTGTAACAGCCCAGCATCTAACCCGCTACAGAATATTGTCCGCTTT